CTTCATTGGCGAATTCTACCAAACAAGAAAAATTTAATACCTATCCTTCTCAGCCTCCTCCAAAGAAATCAAAGAGGAGAGAACATTTCCAAACTAATTTTATGAGGGAAGCATTACCTTGATACCAAAATCAGACAAGCACCCCCCCCACACACACACACACATTAGAGGCCAATATCATTGGTGAACACAGATATAAAAATTCTCAACAAAATATTAGCAAACTGAATTCAACAATAGATTAAAAGGATCATACACCATGATCAAGTGGAATTTATTCCAGGGATGCAAAGATAGTTCAACATCCACAAATCAATCAACATGATACATCACATTAACAAAATGAAGGATAAAAATCATATGATCATCTCAATAGGTGCAGAAAAGTCATTTGAAAAATCCAGCATCCATTTATAATAACCCTCCACAAAGACAGTTTAGAGGGAATGTATGTAAACATAATAAAGGTCATACATGACAAGTCAACAGTTAATATGTTGGAAAGCTGAAAGCTTTTCCTCTAAGAACAGGAACAAGGCAAGGATGTACACTCTTGCCACTTTTATTCAACATAGTATTGGAAGTCCTAGACACAGTAATTAGGCAAGAACAAGAAATAAAAGGCATCCAAATGAGAAAGGAAGTAGTAAAACTGTCATTACTTCTAGATGACATGAGTCATATATAAAATACCCAAAAGATTCCACCAATAAAGTGTTAGGATAAATGACTTAAGTAACAGGATACAAAATCAACAAGCAAAAATCCATAGTGTTTCTATATACTAATAGTGAATTATCAGAAAGAAATTAAGAAAACAGTCCCATTTATAATTGCATCAAAAATAATAAAATAGGGGTCCCTGGGTGGCTCAACTGGCTCAGTCAGTTAAGTGTCTGACTTCAGGTCAGGTCATGATCTTGTGGTTTGTGGGTTCCAGCCCTGCATCAGGCTCTGTGCTGACAGCTCAGATCCTGGAGCCTGCTTTGGATTCTGTGTGTGTCTCTCTCTCTGCCCCTGCCCCACTCGCGCTCTGCCTCTCTCTCAAAACATTTTTTTTAATCTTAAAAAAAAGAATAAAATATAGGCACAAAATTTAACCAAGAAGATGAAAGACCTGTGCATTGAAAACTATAAGACATTCATGAAAAAAATTGAAAAAGACAAATAAATGGAAAGATACTCTATGCTCGGCTCATGGATTGGAAGAATTATATTGTTAAAATGTCCATACTACCCAAAGCAATCTACAGATTCAATCCAATCCCTATCAGAATTCCCATGGCATTTTTCACAGAACAGTTTTAGAAATAATTCTAAAATGTGTATAGAACAACAAAAGACCCCAAACAGCCAACGCAGTGTTGAGAAAGAGAACAAAGTGGAGGTATCAACTCTCTGATTTCAAACTACAAAGCTATGGTTATCAAAAACACAGACACACAGAGCAATGGAACAAAATTGAGAGCCCACAGTTAAACCCACATATGGATGATTAATGCATGACAAAGGAGCCAAGAACATACAATGGAGAAAGGATTGTCTTTTCAATATATGGTATTGGAAAAACTGGATCACTATCTTACACCATACATAAAAACTAACTCAAAATGGATTAAAGACTTGAATGTTATACCTGAAACCATAAAATTCCTAGAAGAAAACATAGGCAGTAAGCTCCCCAACTTTGGTCTTACTGATAATTTTGTGGACCAGACTTCAAAGGCAAGGGGAACCAAAGCAAAAATAAACAAAGAGGATTACTTTACAATGCTTCTGCACATTGAAAGAAAACATAATCAAAGTGAAAAGGCAACCGGGGCGCCTGGGTGGCGCAGTCGGTTAAGCGTCCGACTTCAGCCAGGTCACGATCTCGCGGTCCGGGAGTTCGAGCCCCGCGTCAGGCTCTGGGCTGGTGGCTCGGAGCCTGGAGCCTGTTTCCGATTCTGTGTCTCCCTCTCTCTCTGCCCCTCCCCCGTTCATGCTCTGTCTCTCTCTGTCCCAAAAATAAATAAAAACGTTGAAAAAAAAATGAAAAGGCAACCAATTGAGCGGGAGACGATTTTTGAAAATCATAGACCAGGGATTAATACCCAAAATATATAAAGAACGCAAACAACTCAAAAAACACAACAACAATAAGAACCAGACAACTTAAAATAGGTAGAGGATATTAATAGACACTTAGTATATCTACAGGTATGTGCAACCATCACCTCTGTCGGTTTTAGAACATTCATCACAGAGGTCAATTCTTTTTTTTTTTTTTAAGATTTAAAAAAAAATTTTTATTTATTTTTGAAATAGAGAGGGAGAGAGCACAAACTGGGAAGGGGCAGAGAGGAGAGACAGAATCCCAAGCAGGCTCCACACCGTCAGCACATAGCCCAATGTGGGGCTTGAACTCACACAGCATGAGATCAGACCTAGGCTGAGAAGCTCATGGGAAGCTCAATGGCCTGCACCACCCAGGTGCCCCTCACAGTGGTCAATTCTTAACCTTCATTTTACTTGGCCTATCAATAGCTTTTGACATAGTTGACCAATCCCTGTCTTGTTGACACATTTTTTCACTTGGCTTTCAGGACATCACACTCTCTTGGTGTTTCTCCCTCCTCACTGGTCATCTCCTTTCATTTGGTTTTGCTTTTCTTCCCCCATGACTTCCTTCTATAGATTGCAGTGCTCCAGGGTGTAATCTTTTAAACTCTTTATTATCCTCCTGGGTGATCTCATCTAGTTTCATGGCTTTAAATACCATCTATATATTTAGTACTATCAAGTTTACATCTCTATCCCAGACATCTTTCACCATCTCTAAGTTTGTGTATGTAACTGTCTGCTCCACATCCCCATGTGGATTGTAATAGATAACTCAACATGTTCAAAACTAACCCTGTTACACCTGCAGTCTTCCCTACCTCAGCTGATGACAATTTGATCCTTCTAGTTGTTCTGGCCAAAAATCTTAGAGTCATCCTTGATGCCATTTCTCTCTCACATACCACATTCAATCCGTTACCAAATTCTGTCGGCTGTATACATTCAGAACCCTATCCCTTCTCCCACCTCCTCTCCTACCCCCTGGTGTGAGCTGTCACCATTTCTAGCTTGAATTACTGCAGCAGTCTCCTAACAGGTCATATTGCTTTTAATCCTTGTCCCTCTACAGTCTAGTCTTAATACAGCAACTACAGTGATCCTTTGAAAATAGAGGTAACGTCTTGTTAGTCCTCTGCTCAAAACCTTGCAGTGACTCCCCACAGTAAAATCCGAAGTTCTTATAGTAGTCCACAAGGCCCTCCAGGACCTGATCTGCCCTTGCTCCTTACCTTCTTGATTTCACTTCTTTACTCTCACCCTTACTTTAATGCAGTTACATAGGCCTCAACTTTTCCTCAAACACTCCAGGCACACTTCTCACTCATTTACAGAGTTTGCACTGGCCAGTCCCTCTGACTAGAAAGCATTTCCTCCAACTGTATGGTTTGGGGATTTGGTTTGGCCAATCCCCTCACCTGCTTTAGGGCAATGTTCCAATTTCATCTTCTCCCTAAGGCCATCTCTTATCACCTTACTTAATATACAGTCAACCCTCTCCACCCCTCTTGACTTCCTCCTCCTCTACTTCCAAACCCACTTACCTTGCTCTATGTTTTCTTTTATCTATAGCACCTTTTAACATACAGTGTTATTTCTTATGTTTATTTCTTAGCTTTGTCTATAGTGCCTTCTTCCCCTCTGGAATAAGTTCTCCAAAGCAAGAAATCCATTCATTGATGTATCCAAGGATATAGCACAATGTCTGGTACAATAATTATGTGTTGAATGAGTGAATGAAAAATGTGGGTGATAGTACCTACTCTAAAATTATTTTAGGGATTAAATTAAATGCAAGGATCTTGACACACAATGGACATCCAGCATGTTAGATTGCTACCTCCCTTCTCCCTTCCCCAAGTATCTTTCCCACTTGCCTCCTCTTATAGCACTGTTCCTTCCCTCTTCTCTGAAAAATTTGACAATTCTGGGCTCTCCTTTGAGTTTAAATCCAGGAAAATCCAACAAAAGTCCACAGATGTCATCTGAGAAGAAAAGGAACACTGGGACACCAGCTTTACCCACTGCCACATTGTTAATCAAATTAAGAAACTGTCACACAGAGAAGCAGAAAGACCCAAAGAGATGGAAAGATAAATGTTTTTGTTATTGGAGTTGGAGATTTATTACACCATTTTTTAAAATTACCTTTATTGAGGACTAATTTACATGCATTAAAATATACATATTTTAAGTGTACTGTTTGATGAGTTTTGACAAATGTATAGGTAATCTGATTTGGGATGGAGGGCATTAAGGTCACCTGGGATTATGTAGGTCCAGGGGTTTAACAGAGGGATCCTGGCCAGGAAAGAGAACATTAAGACTCTTGGAAAACATAAACAGAGACAAGTGGAGACACCAGGGCCAACCTGAAATTGTTCCTGGGGTCTCTATGCACCAGGATCTGAACCTCCAGAATGTCTCACAACTTCGTGGCACCTCTTGGCCCTCCTGAGGGAGTGGGCCAGCTGCCTTTCACACCAGTCTCACGTGTATATGCCAGGAGCGGTGACCTGTGACTGAGCCCTCCTTCTCTGCTCTGCAACTGTCCTGCCAATACCCACACCCCTCATCCTCGCCTACCGGTGGGGATGGGAGGGGTCCGTTCCAGACCACGACAGCCAATTTTCACCGCTGCCAGACACCCACCGGGTCTGATTTTCTCTCCAGCCTCAGTTAGAAATCGTCTTCGAGTCCTCGGCAGCACCGCAGGCTGGAAAAAGCAAAAGTGCCGCGCCAGGTGTTGGCATCAGAAATACTCCTTCGGGTCTGCCATTCTCTGGTCCCTGGGAGCTCTTGGCCTCTGAGGTGCGATCTACTGAGCCAGCCCAGCAACCAGGTCCGCTCCCGCCTCCTCAGCTTCTGAAATATTCTAGGGGTTGCAGGTTCAGCTTCACTTAGAGACAGCAACTCCGACTTCAGGTTGGCTAGGGAAACTGAGGCACGACTGGGGATTTTAGGTGAGGGGTCTAAAGTTGGCCGCAGACTTTACTCCTGTAACTGCGATAACCCCTATCGAAAGCCCAGTGTGGTGCGTGCCGATCTAAGAAACCAGTGGGCCGGTTTGCACAGACATCTGGGGGATAGCGAAGCACCGCCCAAGCGGCTGGGAAACCTCAGGGGTGGCGCGGCTGGAGGTGGGGCCAGGGGTGGGTCCTGGCGGAGGGCGGGGCCGACCTGGGCTACCAGGAGTGCCAGCCTAGCCCTGTACAGCAGAAGTGGTGGTAGTCGCCTTTGCCCTTGGTTCTTGTTCTGCTTGCGCTCAACCTCGAAGCCATGGAGGCACCCCAGGAGCTTCTGAGTGGGAAGCTCCAACTCTGCTTCACCCCCGCTGCCGGGACCAGCCTCCTGATGCTCAGGCTGAACGACGCGGCGTTGCGGGCGCTGCAAGAGTGTCGGCGGCAACAGGTGCGGCGGACCCCAGGGCCCCATCTTTCCTAGCCTCTCTCTCTACCTCTCGGGATCTCGGGCCTCAGCCCGCGACCCTGGCGAAGGGACCTGGGGTCTGGGGCGTGGCATCCGTAGGTTCTGATCTCCCCACCTCTCCAAGTGTAGCCCGAGAGGCAGGTGTCTATCCCCCCACCCCCCACCTCCACCCCGGGCACCTGACGCCGGATCCTGGGAATGCCACTTCACCTGCGCTCAGCTCGCATCTGCTCTCCCCGCAGGTTCGGCCAGTGATCGCTTTCCAAGGCAACCGAGGGGTAAGTAAGGGCCTAGGTTGTGTGAAAGAGGTGGGGTGCGGGGAGAACAGAAGTAGGCTTTGGGCAGGTGCGGCCAAGGCGGGAAGGCTGACAGCAGTCACCGTCTGAGGAAGTTCCGAGAAGTGAACTCCGAGTGGGGCGGAGGGGCTGCTGGGGTTGTGGTCCCAGGAGGCTGCGGTTGAGGAGACTGTGTCCTCTCATTCTCCTGGGGGACTCAAGCCCAGCTGCACCTGGTGTATGTACTAACGAGCCCCGTGGGACCCATCTTCAATCTTAGGGCTGGCTAAGGGAAGAATGGCAATGGAAGGAGGGGGAGGGGCTGACTTCATGGGGCTTATGGTTCCCCTTTTGCCTCTAGTATCTAAGGTTCCCAGGACCTGGCTGGTCCTGCCTCTTCTCCTTCATAGTGTCCCAGTGTGGCCAAGAGGGCCCTGGTGGCTTCGACCTTGTGTACCAACGCTTAGGCAGGTAAGGGGGAACCGGTATCAGGTAAAAAGGGTTTGTGGAAAGTTGGGGAGGCTGATTCCAGAGGTACTTAAAAGTCCACCCTCCTGGGATTTTTTTCCACCACCCCTTTCCAGATCTGGGCCTAACCACCTCCACTGCCTGGGCCCACTCAGGGAACGCCTCACTATTTGGGCAGCCATGGATTCCATCCCTGCCCCATCTTCAGTTCAGAGACACAACCTAACTGACAGTGCCAGAGATCCTGAGAGTTGGCAGAACATAGGAGACTATTCTGAGGAAGACACAGTTTCACAGCCACAAATGGCACTAAAAGAGGTGAGGCCACAAACTGCAGGTGGCTGGAATAAGGTGGGGCACAGCCTGAAGCCCAGAGAGCCAAGTGCCCCTGCCACTTTCCCTGCCAGGTGCCAGATCCACTGGCAAGCAGCCAAAGACAGTCACTCCCAGGATCCTCAGAGGAACACATGGCACAGTGGGAAGTGAGGTACCTGGGGCAGGGTGGGACTAACCTGGGAATCTCTGGAATTGCCTTTCTTTCTAATCTCCACTCTAAATGCTTTAATAAGAGATCTAGCCCTACCTTGGCCTTCATCTCTCTCATTCCCTCTTCAAATATCCTAGAAACCAGACCCATCTTCCAAACAGAGAACCTGATCAGGCACTGCCTTCCTCAGCTAGCCAGAAACATTCGGACAAGGTGAGTTGTCCAGGGATTTTAGCAGCGGATTTTCCAAGAGATCTTTGTTCGATCAGGATAAATTTTAAAATTAGGAGCCTTTATTCTGATGCTCCCAGAGTTCATTCTATGAAATTAATTTTCAAGAGAAGTGCAGAATACACCTCTGGCTTACTGTTTATGTGACATTTTCCCCAATAGAAGCGCCCAGCACCTGCAACCACTAGAAAACTAAAAGAAAAGAGGCTCAGAACCCTCCCTTTGGCTCCAAGTCCCCTACAAGCACTGCCCAGTGAGGACCTGCAAGAGGGAGATTGGGAGCAAGAAGATAAAGATGAAGACATGGGCTCCAGGCTGGAACACAGTCCCTCAGTTCAAGCAGGTGAGTTAAATGAGAGAAGGGCAAAACTGCTCTAGTTGGAAAAACACCTAATCACTTTTCTGTCCTTTTGCTTCCTTCCTAGATTCTGAATCCCCAAGCCCTGAAGAAGTACCAGATTATCTCCTGTGAGTCCCCTGCTACTTCCAATTTTATCAAGCCTTGTACATAGGAGATATTAAGATAAACTTCCTGTGACCTAGAAGCTTTTAGGGGCAATGAAATTAAAGGTGACAATTCTGCTCCTGGCAGGCAATACACAGCCATCCACAGTGCAGAGCAGCAACATGCTTATGAGCAGGACTTTGAGATGGATTATACTGAATACCGCATCCTCCATGCTCGTGTTGGGGCTGCAAGCCAAAGGTTCAGAGAGCTGGGAGCGGAGATCAAGAGAGTTCAGCAAGGAACTCCAGAACATAAGGTAAGGACTGGACCCAAGCTGACTTTCTAGCCTTACTGGCCATAAACTCCCTAATTTGCTCAGAAGACTGGTAACCAAAGTGCCAAGCCAAGTCTGTTTTGAGAAAAAGTAATCTCTATCATTTGATAGAATGAGATGGGAAGTTATTGCTCTCCCTTCAGAAAACTGGAGTTCTTGGCGCATCTGGGCGGCTCAGTCACTTAAGTGTCCAATTTCAGCTCAGGTCACGATCTCATAGTTTTTGGGTTTGAGTCCCTCCTCAGGCTCTGTACAGATAGTGCAGAGCCTGCTTGGGATTCTCTCTCTGCCCCTCTCCCACTTTCTCTCTCAAAATAAGTAAGCTTAAAAAAAGAAAAGAAAGAAAACAGTTTTTTCTCAAGGTTCAACTTGGTGCTAGCATTTTCTTTGTTTCAGGTGCTGGAAGAAAAAATAGTCCAGGAATATAAGAAGTTCAGGAAGGTAAGATAAGGTCTGGGAATGGTAGCAAGAAGGTAGAAATGGTAGATCTTTTTTTTTTTTTTTTGATGTGGATAATTTTTCTTTGCAGCGGTATCCAGGTTACAGGGAAGAAAAGCGTCGCTGTGAGTACCTGCATCAGAAATTGTCCCACATTAAAGGTCTCATCCTGGAGTTTGAGGAAAAAAACAGGGGCAGCTGAAGCTATCAGAAGGCTCTTTACCCTCTCTCTGCTCAGTGAGATATGAAGGAACAAAGCAACTATAAACTGCAGAGTGCAATTGTCTGCTCTTCTTATTGCTGAGTCCATGGTGGCAAGTACGAGAGCTCTTCTATTCTCTTTAAGATTTCACTTTCACTGTTGTCACATTTTACTTTTTAGGATGTGGGCACAGTGCCAAGATTCCACAACTGTGCCCAGGAGACTAGGAAGAGTAGCAGAGGCTTGGCTTCTTCATCTTTAGTTCAGCCAAGTCATTTTCAAATCCTGAGAAATGACACCATTCCCAGGACAAGATACCTTGAGAACATTAGAATTTAGCCTGGTAGCCTCCCTAAAGCAACAGTAGAGAGAACTTTTGGTAACAGAGCTAAAAGAACTTGTAATACACCTGGATATAATGGAAAAGGGCTTAGTTGTTCCCCATGTACTAAAAGTAAATTCTTTTACAAACATGGCTAAAAAATGAAAACTGATTGCTTCTGTGTCCTCTGTATAAGTTTGTATGCTTTCCTTAAACTCTTCAAGGCAATAGTTATTACCTACGACTATCTATTTGTACCATTTCTTGGGTGCTCTGAAAAATTAGATCCCCAGATCCCAGCCCAGGTCTTATGTATTAGAATCTTCAAGGTTATGGTTAGGCATCTTTACTTTTTCAAAGCACTAAGGATGATCTTGCTATATATTTTGCTATTAAGGCTCTATCAAATCCATCTTATAACTGGCAGCTAGAGATTACAACAGGAATAAAGTTCTCTTTTTCAAACCATAGAGTTTGAGGATCATCTACAAATAGGGCTCCTATCTGGAATTATCTAGTACTAAAAACTTTAAATACAGATAGGATTTGGATTTACCCAGAAAACAGGGAAATTCATTTGAACAAAAGATCATGTCAGTCCTATCCTTTTTGTTCCCCACTGTTGCAGAAGAAAGTGGATGCTTCATTCACAACCAGGAATGATATGCCTTTCCCAGTTCCACTGGAGAAGGAAGTTAATGGGCCACACCTGGGCTGTGGGGGAGAGAGGTGCACCCAGCAGTGTCAGCAATTCCTGAAACAACTTGGATGGAACCCCAAACTGATGCCACACCCATACAGGGCATTTTTGGGCAGAGACTAGCCTTGGGAGGTATAAACATGCTCAGCTGCGTGACAAGGGTAAACAGTAACCCATCCTTAGGGTATGGGCAGGGCCTGAAACAGACCCAACAAAAAAAGTCCCTCACCTGTTGTAGTCATCAGGCCAGGGGCCTGGGCAATAAACATGTAAAGACAGAAAATGACGAAAGGTAGAATGGATTTATAGGTGATGACTATGGACCTAGTTAGCTGGTCTATAGCAGCACTGACCAATATGGTAAGCCAGTAGCTCTAGGTGTGAATATTGAAATCAATGAAATTTTAAAATGTAGTTCTTAGTTACATTTCAAATGTTCAGTAACTACCTGTGTTAGACAATGAAAATTATGGAACATTGCCAAGATTCCAGAAAATTCTATTGGACAGTGCTGATCTAGAAAATCTTTGGTTCCCTATCTCCTGGAAAAAAGACAGTTTAAAGGGGGCTCATTTATTGTCACTGTTCCAAATGTACAAAAAAAATTAGAAAATAACCCCCCAACTCAATCCCCCCCACCCCCACAACATTACCCCCAACACAAATAATTTTTCCCAAAACCACAAACATCAACTGGTCCTGGTATTTCCATAAACAGTGCAGCTAAGAAACAGTTTAGAGAAAATTTAACGGGATTCAGATTATATCCATTCTGTCCTCTCTGCCCTGAGAGTAATAATCCCACATGGGTCCCAGTCCTCCCCAATGGTTTTCCCATCTCTGGTGGAAGAGTCCTTTTACAAAGTGGCATGTTTGGCTGCTGCTTTAGAGATCCTCCTGTGCCTTCTTCTTCTTCTTGGCTTTTTCTTCTTGAATTATAGGGGGATTTGTTGCCTCTCGCTGTAGATAGCTAATAAAATCACTTAATTCACGGCCACCCTGAAAACAGAAAGATTACTCTGAAAATTTAACCTTTTAAAGAACCCTGGATTTTTTTTCCCCAATAGGAAGACTTTTGAGTTTATAAAAGCATGTTAGCAATCACATACAATGACTATGAAACTGAAGTTTCCAGTTAAGTAAAATTTAAAGAACTGAATATGTATGTGTATGTGTGTATCTGTGGGGAGATGAGACAACGCACTTACTTCGTATTTCTTTGGGTTTAGCTTCTTGTTGGCTGGAGAGAAGTAGATGGTAGGAAAACTGGGTGTAAAAAAAAAAAAGTGAACTCATTTTCAGATTCCAGGGTAAGTCCAACATATACTTCCCCAATAACTTTCTGGGAATAACTTCTCTTCATGATTTCTATTTCTGACCAGATACCAGTCTCTACCAGTGCTCACAAATCTGTGGCAGTCATGTGGACCCTTGCAGTAGAACTCTAAGCCAAAAAGGCATCTGGTTCCATGTTCAAGTGCAGTGAGGGATCCACTCCCTAAACTATGCCCAATAAATGGTTTGCAAGCTTACTTTTTCCTATCAATTGCCTAGACACTTTTATTAGCTTTTAATCTACTTACCCTCTGACTTCATATGGAGAAGGCACATCATTGGCTGTAGCATCCATCTTGGCTATGATAATATTTGGGTCTTTTCTGAGCTGTTAATAAAAAAGGTTAAACCTTTAAAGTTTCTGGTGACCAAGGGACACTTCGTCAAATCAACACTTAAAATAACCTCATTTTTAAACACCTGGATAAGTTCTGCTCCAGTAGGAAGTGTAGTGACACTTTACATAATATCTAGCTTTCCAAAGGCATCCCTTTTCTCTCTTGGTTTCTACATATTAAGACTCTGTTTATAGCTACCTTCAAAATTACGTGACTTCCGTAAGACATTACAAGGGAAACATAATGGATTCATACACGCCATTACCAAAATTCAGAAGCCTGGATACTTTTAACCACAATCTAGATTGAGTCTGAGGAGTGGAATATCAAAAACAGGTATCTGAGGCACTGCACAGGCTAGAGACACTAGCGGGTCAGCCAGGAGAAAATAAAGAGTAGACAGCTGAAAAAAAAAAAAATCTACCAGGACACAGGTACTGAATTAATTAGGGTAACTAGCCAATGCTGAATTATGTGTCAACTTTCCAACTCAAAATTTATCTTCAGAATATGGTTCAGACTTACCTTCTCTCCCAGTTCTTTATACTTAGGCTCCAGATTCTTACAGTGACCACACCAAGGAGCGTAAAATTCAATCAGCACATCTTTATTTTCATCATTCACTATTTCATCAAAATTCTCTGCTACCACTACCTGGAATACACCAAAGATTCTCTAGTTGGTAAGGCAAGATGAAGAATAAAAATTCACCACATGCTGTATTTGTTTCTGCATCTAAACCCTATCAAAATGTGCTGTGTTGTCCCTGAAAATATGTCATTGAAACCCAAATAGCATCTACAGACTATATTAAAGATGTTTCTGACCATTTTCCAGAAACAAACTCATTCCCAGGTCTGTCACCTGTCAAACTTTGTTCAGTAAGTCATAGGAAATAAGTGCTATCCAACCCTTCCTTAATCTCAAAGCAACAATCTCAAAACTATTCTTAGAGGTTAGCTTGCTCTACCCTGAAGAGTAACTTAGTTCTAATATAAATACTAACAAAAATTCTATGAAGCCGGCACCTGGGTGACTCAGTCGGTTAAGTGTCTGACTCTGGATATCAGCTCAGGTCATGATCTCATGGCCATGAGCCTGAGCCTCGCATTGGGCTCCATGCTCAGTGGAGCTTGGGATTCTCTCTCTCTTTCTCTCTCTGCCCCTTCCCCATTTGTGCACATTCTCTCTCAAAATAAATTCTATGAAGATTTTATACTCTTGCCCCTTGAGCATCATGAGCTCTGCCAATGCTTATTTTATGACTCAGGGAGAGGAGGACAAACAAAACCAAAAACATGACAGCCAACAAGGTCTTCACTTAGACGAAGCATTTTTGGAATATGAGAAACGAGAAGGGGCACCTGGATGGCTCAGTCAGTTAAGAAATGAGGAGAGTCAATTATATCTTAATAAAACTAAGATCGGGGGACAATGAGGAGAGGCAGCTGCTTAGAGCCTTGGTGAAGCTATGGGCACCTCACCTTTACTGGCCCGTCATTGCTCTCTGGGATAGGCTCAGACTTCAGGTATCTCTTCAGGTTGCCATCAAAATAATCTTGCAGGAATCTTTCAAGAGCCTTGCCATCACGTCTGCAATTGAAAGACAAGGGTCAGGTTTGTTAATCTTCTATTGAGAGGATTAAAAGCAATTTTTTAGTTTCATATTCTAGCTCCAGTTTCAAGGTTAGAAACTGGAAGTTAAAAACAGGAGGACCTTATCTCTCAATATGCAGATCTACTGACTGAACAAAAAACCTAACCACCTCCTATATTTGTAGCATATTCTTTATGAACCAGAAAGGTCAGAGATGGAAGAAAACACTGGTTTTCTGGAAAGTCACTTCTGCAGAAGAACCAGGTCAGGTCTTTTTTGCTCTGAAAAATACCACCTATTTACAGTATCTTGTTTTACTGATTTCCTCACAAGGAAGACTTTTCTCTCCAAGTCTCAGAAAGTGAAAAGTCCTAATTTTCTGGGGTTTTAAGATATTTCCATTCCCTGAGTTCACTTTAGGCCAGTAAGTATTCAAAGAAGAAAAGACATTTTACAGGGATGAGAGGGGGTTGCAATGGTTTGAAATTACATCAATCTCAAAGAGACCATTCAATGTTCTCGATGTACTATTTTTAATGGCAAAGTAGAAACAATCATGTAAGTATTCCAAGCTGCCATCCTTTTGCTAATTTTCAGAATTTATTAAGGATTGTGATCCTTAAAGTCCCTAAAATTAACTAAGAAAAATGACAATCATACGTCTTGGCTAGAAGACCTATCTTCACATTCTAACGTTCTTCTTTATAAATTCTCAGTAGCGTAAAAGGCTTTACATTTCTTTGCAGAATCCACCCCCAAACCCACATTAACTTGTAACTCACGAGAACTCCTCCTGCATGACAAACTTCTCTCCTTTTGCAGTTCTGATAGCAACAACAGGAATATCTCCAGCAGTGCTTTCCAAGCCAAAATCAGAAAGTTCATGGCTAAAGGTTTTGCGGCTAGCTACAGCAAAGCTGAGTTTGTTTCCAGCATCTAGGAATTTCTTTGCTACCATCATCACTCTGTGGGAAATAAGACATATTTACACCAAGATTTATACCATGGTGGTAAACCACTTCTGAAATCAAGAAGCTAGAAAACAAAGACTAAATTTTACAGTCCACCAGCCCTCTGGAATCAGTCTAAACTACATTCTTGGCCACTGACACAGAATCATGGTACACTGTTAGGTCTTACTGAATTTCACTGCCAAACTGGTGGTACCAAATAGTCCATTCCCAATGAATCTTGTTATACTGTAATATAACTA